TGCCTTGCTGCCCTTCTCGAACCCCGTCATAGCCCTCGTGGGGAAGTTTGGTGCAGGATGGTTGTGGGCTGATGTGATGGTGGAGCCCTGGTTGTACAACAGTGTAACTGTGCTAAAGGAGCCCACACAAGGCACATCAGAGCACTTTATTCTGTTTTATCCTACAGCCACTGCTTTGAATTCTGCCGATGCCTGGTATTTTTGTGGTACTTCTCGATGCATTCACACCTATTTAGGCTCTCTGGTTATCACTCCTGGCACGGTTTGTAAAGCCAAACAAAAACTCAAAGCCAGCTCACGTCCTCCAAAAACTGATTCCCAGTTCAGAAAACAAGTTCTAAACTAAGTTGCCATCATGCTGAGGTGCACTGACATAACAGGAGCCAGGTTTGATTTTGGGGTTTCTTGTGGAGGACAGGAGGGGGAGGATCTGAGTTGGCTGCTCTCAGTGAAGTGCTCTGGTGTGTATCAGACTCCTCAGTGAAGCTGGAGTTGTCAGCACTGGGCTGGGAATAAGGAAGAAGCTGGTGACTGAAGCTGTGTTTCTCAGGAGCTGGGAAAGGAAGCAGGGACATGGACAGAAACCCAAGTGATGCACGGAAAGAAAAGCAGTGCCCTCTCTCCTGAATGGGTCTTTTATCATGGAAACAAAACTTGATTCTTTCTGCTGAAGGAGTGTAGTATTTTGCTTAAAACTAGGTTTTGTAGTTACTTTGTTAATTATTTGTGCAGATAAGGACCTACTTGTTGCTCTTTTTTAGCTTTCTAGCTTGAGTAAATTTATATTTATGTACATGCAAACTTTTAAACTATCCACTAAAATATTTTGTAAACTGTTACAGTACCAATTTCTTTTGTGCTGCAGGTTTCTATAGCAGGTGGGGAACATTAGGAGAAAGCAAAATAACTTCTCTCCTTGCCTGGGGTAAACACTTGACAGCAGTCATAATATTGTGTAAATGCCAATTCCTTATATATTTCCTGTCATCCTTAGCACATAGGTAGATTGTACTGTTTTGGAGTAAAATGATGAAGCAAAGAGCATTCCTGGAGGTGGACATGTCTCCTGCAGTGACAGCACTGGTGTGTGTTGGCCCAGCCTGTGTAGAGATGAACACAGGGCACTGAGTGGGAGGAGATGGCTGAGGCTGATGCTATTGGGTATTTTAGAGCAGGATAAGTTAACATATGTTCTCAGTTTTGAATGGATTGGGTTTTTCTAGCACTTAAGGACTATAAGGTCATGTTATACTACTGTAGTTCAAAGGTGGTAAATAGAGATTAAAAGGGATGGTCTGCATTCTAGAGTATTGTAGAGAAATACAGGTAAGTGATAGTTCCTTAGCTATTGTCAGGTAAAAGCTAATAGAACTGTAATATTGGGGTTCAGTACAAACTTACTGTCCAGTGCCTAGAGGGAATATGAGAATGAACCTCTGTGATCCTGCCACTTTCAGAGCCTTCTTTTTTTAGTCAGTGTCTGTTTGGGTAAACTGTGTTACGTCCCTGCCCCCTCACTTCCCAGGACATTCAAATTGTTGGATAAGGAATAGTCACTGAGGAACCTGTATAAAACTGGAAGTGGAAAAGATGCAGCATTTTGCTCTGACAGAAACAGTAAAGAAGGCCAGACAAAAACATGAAAAAATTATACAGTTACTGTGTGATGGCACTTTGGGGACAGACACTTGGAAGGACGTGTGTGAGGTCCAGGGTGGGACTTGTACAGGAACAAGTGAACACAGAATATGTACACCTGAGTTTGTAAAAGGAAAGCCTTGGCTGAATGCTGTAGAATGTGCTTTCAGAGTGCCTGGCAGACTGCTTTTAATGTGGGCTTGTGTGTGTGTGTTAGGGCACAGTTTCTGATTCCAGGGACTGGGCCCAGGTCATGAGGTGCCTTTTTACTCTTGGATGTCCATGGCTGTTGCAACTCAGGTCTGGTTTTATCCTGTATATAAGTAACTTAAAATTCCTTAGTCACTGATCTCAAACCGTGCATAAACACATAACTTGTGTGATGCTTTGGAAGGAAACAAAGGAGTGTGGGCAGCAGGGGAGGGTGGGATTCTGCCCCTCTGCTCCACTCTGGTGAGACCCCATCTGCAGAGCTGTCTCCAGCCCTGGAGACCCCAGCACAAGAAAGGCATGGACCTGTTGGAGTGAGACCAGAGGAGCCACGGAGATGCTGCAAGGGCTGGAGCCCCTCTGCTCTGGAGCCAGCCTGGCACAGCTGGGGGTGCTCACCTGGACAAGAGAAGGCTCCAGGGACACCTGAGAGCCCCTGGCAGGGCCTGAAGGGGCTCCAGGAGAGCTGCAGAGGGACTGGGGACAAGGCCTGCAGGGACAGGAGCCAGGCAATGGCTCCCAGTGCCAGAGGGCAGGGCTGGATGGGATCTTGGCAATCAGGAATTGTTCCCTGGCAGGGTGGGCAGGCCCTGGCCCAGGGTGCCCAGAGCAGCTGGGGCTGCCCCTGCATCCCTGGCAGTGCCCAAGGCCAGGCTGGACAGGGCTGGGAGCAACCTGCAATAGTGGAAGGTGTCCCTGCCATGGCAGAGAATGGAATGAAATGGTCTCTAAGGTCCTTTCAAACCCAGACCATGCCATGATCTACAATTCTGTGCCTGCCGTGTTCTCTGGGAACTTGTTGCAAGGGAAGGATACTCAGTGTACTGAAGACAACATAATAAATTTATAAGTGGAATCATTCTCTTCTTCACCCCAGTGAAGAAGTAGTCCCCCAGTCCTCCCCAGTGCAGCATCCATCCAGGCAGTGAGGGTCCTCCAGGGCTCACTGTGAGTCAAACTTAGAGTGATTATTCTTGTTTGGGGTATGTTTCCCTGGTCTTTGAAGGCCCATTTCCATAATTTTTATTAGGACCTGGTTCTGTTCAGTAGTTTGCTGGAATATTCATGTTTATGTGACTTTTGGGACAGACTGAAAATATCCATAAAGCAGCTGTTGTTCTGAGCCTTCAGAGCTGTGAGAGATGTTGGATCCTTCCAATCCTTGCAAAAGTCATTGCCAACTCTCCACCTGGTATCTTTTCCCTCTTAAGCTTACTTTTGATTTCTTAGTCTGGAGAAATAAGGTAGGATGCAGGTGCTCAACATTTTTCTAATTGCTCAATTACTCATTTTCTGGATCACAGGTAAATAATCTCAGTAGGTAAGTGGATGGGAACCAACTGTATTTGATGTCAATGACTGACCATAATGAAACAAAAGAAATGTTACAAAGGAATCAGAACAACCATGCTGTGGGTACATGTTAGAAACATTGATCAGAATTTTGCAGATGTTGTCTGTAGGTCTCCAGAGGATGGAGTTAAATCCTACTTGGCTGGCACAGAGCAGTTTGCTGTTAGCTGTGTTCTGTGTCTGGTGTCACGAGAGGCTGATTTGGAGCTGCTTTAACTCTGCCAGTCTCTAAGGGAACAGGATGTTGTTTCTGTGTGAGGCTTGAACACAGGGGATCTGGCTTCTCTAAGAGTTTTAGCAGACGGCAGAAATTACCTGTGAGTGTTTATACAAAGGGTGTATTAGACAGCAGGCTCTGACATTGTGTGGGTTCAGCTGAGTTACTGCTGGATTAGGTTTCACAAGGAAGCAGCCAAAGGCAGAGGCCGTGCCAGGAGCTGGTGCAGCTCTGCAGTCAGTCTGTTGGCATGAAAACACTGAGGGTTATTTGGGCCCTCCTTCCATTCCCCTGTGGATTTTACACTTGCAATCTCAATGTCTCAGCAGACTGGGCATCCTTTTTTTCTGTATCTGAAGTTAATCTACAGTTCTCTTGCAGCCTTTTTCTTCATTTCCTCTGACATTTGTGCCATGATATCATCACTGGACACCCGTGTCTGTTTTTGGTGTTCTGAAATGTCAGAAAAGCATATGGAAACTTCCTTGTCAGCTAAGACCATTGCAGAGCCAAGCAGTGTGATTAAAAAGGGCGCTTTCACCACAGAATCCTTTACCATAACAATTAGCTTTGTCTTCTAGTGTCCTTAAGCCTCACAATAGAACTTAATAACTTCAAAGTAGCATATTGTTAGAGGAAAATAGCACATTTTCCTATGCATGCTTGCAATTTTCTTTAGAAAATCCCACAGATCTGACAGAGACAAGGAGAAGCTGGCTAAAAGAGGTATGTCTTGGGTTGAATTGCAGCTTTTTTATTGTTCTGAGACAGTCTTGAAAGTATTTTAGTTATTTTTAGGCCTACACTGATAAGAACCTGTAATTGTTAGGAAATTGCAACCCAAAATGATCTTAGTATGTAATGTTATAATTGATAGTAGCAATTGTGGAGATTGGAGGTAGAAGCAAAACACACAAGTATCCAAATAAATATCCTTTTTCTTAAATATTTTAAGGATTTTTATTATTAATATCAAATTATTCCTTTAAGAGTAACCTTAATTAAGGTAACAGTACATGGATTGTCTGCTTTAAAGATAATTTTTCACTCTTCACTATGATGCTGTGTTTGGGAAACTGGCTGCTTGTTAGCTGTATTAATGATGGATTGGAAACTTCTTTTTCCCTCTTGTCCCCAGGGGTGGAGGTTGGAATAGCCAAAGAAATCACGAGGGTCTTCATTTCATACCTGACAGTTCATCCGTTGACATTTTCTCACTTTCTGCTCTCTATCCACAAGACTTTGTACTGATGAACTTGGTTAAGTCACTGCCTTTGTTCCACACCCACGAAGTTTGCAAGACTGGTCAGAGTTGGTGTTTTAGCCCTAAATTTCTTCCTGTTAAAGGATGCTCTGTCCAGTGCCTGCTGTCTGTGAAGGCAGTGGGATGTCCAGAGTAGAAATAAAAGACCTCTGAATTACTCATGATGTGTGCCAGCCTTGGGAAACCTCCTTGGGTCACTGAAATATTTGCTGTGTGGATTGTGTATGTTAAGTTCACTTCTTGTTTGCATTTCCTTTCAATTTAGTAGCGATAACATAATTTTGTTGGATTAATTTTAAAAAATGTTCTTCCCTTTAGGACACAGCTTAGGCTATGGCTTCGTGAACTATGTAACTGCAAAAGATGCTGAAAGAGCAATAAACACACTGAATGGCCTCAGACTTCAGTCAAAAACTATCAAGGTAGGAGCTCTTCAGTTGTCTGTGAAAACAGCGTTGTAATAAACTTTATTCTGATGGTAAAGTTTGTGTGTTCCCAGCTGCAGCAAGCATGAATCTGGGAGGAGAATAGTGAAGTGTTTTGAAACAGCTTAGTATTTGAAGGTTTCTTTTCTTTATATTCCCACCATTTTACAGCAGTAGAGGGACCATTATAGATGGTTGGCAGGCATTTAACTCATGCACATCTTGGAAGCTTTGAAATATTTATTGTAAATCTTGTTAGTCCACATGCAAACAACAGCCTGTGCTCTGTGTGTAGGACTCACTCCTGCTTAGGTGATTTATGCAGCTTTCTCCAGTAGTAGAAATTAGGACACAAAACTGCACCCTACTCATGCCATATTTTTATGAAGCTTTAGAAGATATACTGACAGGACAAGTTCCTGATGTGAGCTGTGGCAGGGCCAGTGGCTGAGTCAGAACTCAGGATTCTTGGTGTGGCAGAAGTGTTTGCTGGGAGCATTGGCATTGCTCTGTTGCTGTCTCCTTACAGCAATGCTAATACAGTTGTTATCACTTGGGTTAGCCCAAAATGAATGGCATTATGTAGGGACATGCCCTTTCTCCTGTTGTTTGGTTGATTTTCCCCTACTGTCTCGGTTCCATTTTTTTTAATTCCAGTAAAAATGCATGTGTTGGTAATGGGGGAGTTAGTTAAATTGGCTCATGACAATAAACTGATCTTCCCTGTTAATACCCTTACATGTGTTTTTCTTTCTTTTCAAGGTTTCCTATGCCCGCCCGAGTTCTGAAGTTATCAAGGATGCTAATTTATACATCAGTGGCCTGCCCCGCTCAATGACACAGAAGGATGTAGAAGATATGTTTTCCCGTTTTGGGCGCATCATCAACTCACGTGTGCTTGTGGATCAAACCACAGGTGAGTTCTGGGACCTTGGCTGTGGAAAACTGGAGTGTACAGCATGGATTTGGTGTTTTCTGAGACTGGCAGTACCTAAACTTCAGTAAATTAGACTTCCACAAGCTAATCATGACATCTGCTGTCAGCTGGTGATAGAATTTTGACAGGATATCCATGTTCGGTGATTTTTTTTTAAACACAGAATGACTCACACTGTCTTTTTCAGCTTACAGCCCAAACCTCAGACCTTATTAAAATAGGATTATTGTCATTTTTATCAGCTACTGATTTGCCAAATTACTTTCTTGTTCTGATGGTTGCTGGCACTGCAATGTATTTCTGGGCCTGGAGTGCTGATCTTACTTTGACTTTACACACATGCAGCTCTTATCCACTGGTCAATTCCAGGCCATAGTTAGAGATTTAAAGCAAAACAAAAATGTATTTTGTACCAGCCTGAAACTCACTCAATTTTCTTATATTTCAAACCATGTGAGATGTCTTACAGGCTTCTTTGGTTACTCCTCAGCAAGGGAATTAATTTCCTACACTTAGTACTGCCCTGAAAGTTCTAAATGTATTTTATGTATTAAAAAAGGAAAAAAAAAAAGAAAAGAAAGGGGAGAAGTCACTTACTTAGGCACTTGGCTCAGGGGAGACCAAAGTTAAAGTTTTCTTTGTGATGGCAGTTCTGACTCTGTTACAGTGTGTTTTCAGAGTTTTAAGTTCTTACCCTGTTATTTCAGACAGTATAACTGTCTAGCTTATCCTGTCACCCAGCTGTTCTGTGGTTTTACTGGTAGCCCATATGTCATGTATTAATCTGGAGAGAGCTTTTACAAATACACTTTTTCATTGATTATGCATCTGGTGTATTGGAATAGAAGACAATCTAATTCTGGCAATTCCACATTTAACATTTATAACTGGGGTGTGCATTTATACACTTCAGTTCAGAAGCAGCTTTCCTGCTCTGTGAGGAATCAGCTGTAGTTTGGAGTGGGCCACCAGCAGCTCCTTGTGGGCTCAGTCTGAGAGCAGGCTGAGATCTGCAGGGCTGTGTCCCCATCAGAGCCACCTCCTGGTCCAGGCACCATTTGCAGGTGTTTGGTCAGATGGTGCTGCAAATGTGACTGTGCATCAGAGAAACCTGAGGTGGCTTGGTGAGATCTGGGGACTGACTTGGCACACACTCCATGGCTGAGTGAGGAAAATCCCATCCTGCCTGGAGAATATTGTTTTGACCAACTCTGATACCTGTATGGCCCTGTCCCTAAGCTGGTTGTCTAGGATGCAGCTGTAATGAGAAGCAAGAAAAAGACTTGTGGAGCACAGCAAACTTAGTAATGCAAGTCTCAAAACTATGGGGTCTCGAGAACATCTAGATTTGACAGAGCTGTAAAATGACAGAAGTCTGATACAAATAAAATCTCCCCAAGAATAATATAGTTTTCATGGGTGTGCTGAGGCCTGATGCTGTGTAATTCAGAAGCTCAGAACACACCACCTGCTTTCCCATAGCCTTAATAATGCATTGACTGAAGAGTGGGTTCTGTTGCATCTCACAGTGCCTGCAGAGCCGGCCTTGCCGTCTCACCAGGAATGTGGCTATGCCTTGGCTTTAAGCCTGCCTTTCATATCTTGATCTGCTCCCACTGAAGACACATTTTAATTTGTATTAGCTGTACCTTCTCACAGAGATGGTACTCCAGCTTTTGGAAATTATTCTGTTTAAAAATACACTTTCTAAAATATTTACATTTTAAACGAATGCTTTGAGAAGCACTAGGATGAGCAGCATGAAAGTGGAGGAGTCACAGTAAGCTGAGCTCTAAGATAGGCCTTGCTGAGTTCTGAGTGATGCTGCTGCCCTCGGCCTTCCCAGGGGGAGCCATACCCTTCCCCTGGCACAGAGGCTGATCTCAGTGGCACCTGAGCACACAGGGCTGTCAGCTCTGCTCTGGTGAGCCCAGGTGTTGTTATTTATCAAAAGGCAATCACGCCTTGTTTGCTTCAGGCCCAGGTCATGACATGTTGCATTTCCTTCTGTGAAACAGAGAAAATTATCCTCAACTATTACCAACAACAGTTTATGATTTTGTGGTTTATGATAAGATTAACTTCTGTATCTTTGAAGATGTTCCTGGGTGGATGTGAAGAAAACAAAGTATCTGATATGTCCCTTTCTGAAACAGAGCTAATGAAGTCCTACATTTACAGTCCTGGCCACAATACCTCCTTTGGAATGGCATTTAAACAAAATGTGCCCTTTTAGCTTCACTGTGATAAACCGTGTTTTCAGCCTACGGTCAAGTCACAGATAAGAAGCAAGGGGAGGAGAGGAGAGCTTACAAGGCATAACTTGTACCTCAGTCAGAAGGAAACAGCATCCAGGGACTGGGACTAGGAAAAAAATACACAAATTTTTAACAGCTGTGATATTGGTTCAGTACAGCTACCAAGAGGTAATTCTTCATTGATTTTAATGAATAAAAATAATCTATGTGCCAGCTGGAAATAGCCTGTGTGAAATTCTGGTGAAATTCTGATCTCTCAATTAAAAAAGGTGGAAGTCCTTTATTATAGTCAGACATTTGTTCCCTCATCTCTGAGGCTGAATGTGTTTCTAGCATGGAAAAACGAAAACATTTGCAAAAATGTTTAAATTCTGTGTTTGCAGATGCTCTTTAGTGATAAAGTAATTGAAACTAAGGGGTTTGGGTTTGTTTTTAACCATCTGGAGTTAATTCTTTTTTTTTTACTTAATTTAAAATGTTGAGTTTTTTGTGAATGGAAATGTCAGTTGATGATGAGTATAATGGAATTCTACCACATATTTTTTTAAGTGTTTAGTCACTGTGGTTGTTACAGCTGAAATGAGTACGCTAATTTGTCTTTGGTTTCTTAATTTTGTACTTTATCCTCCAGCTGCCAAAGAAATATAAATGTAGAGAACTTGAAAGCTGTGACCATAGAAATACTGAACGTTTTTGGGTTTTGTTTTCAAAGTTATTTTGAGTTTATCCTGAACTTCAATTTTTTTTGTTTGTTTGTTTGTTTGTTTTTTTATTGGTTTGGTTACAAGGTTTGTCCAGAGGGGTCGCATTTATCCGGTTTGACAAAAGGTCAGAAGCAGAAGAGGCAATTACAAATTTCAATGGTCACAAACCCCCAGGTTCCTCCGAGCCCATTACAGTGAAGTTTGCAGCCAACCCTAACCAGAACAAAAATGTGGCACTGTTGTCGCAGCTGTGTCATTCACCAGCTAGACGGTTTGGAGGGCCAGTGCATCACCAGGCACAGAGATTCAGGTAGGTTAGGAGGAATAAATGCATTTAAGGCTTGCTCCTGTTCCCGTGGTTGTGTGGGGAGCTGTGCCCCCCACAGCTGGGCAGTGATACCTTCACTGCAGCATGTGTGAATGAATACATAGTGCACTATGTGTCCTCAGTGTTATGTAAAGAAACTGTTGCATTAAAATATGATTAAAGAAAAATCTTACTTGTAAAATTTATATTGAAGTTAGTGTTTAAAGGTACCTGCAGTCTGGTGTCTGTTTCCACTACTGGATTACAGTGAGGGGACAGCAGCAGCAGGTTCCAGGTGGGTGTTGGTAGGTGCCTGTCTCAACAGATCCCTGTTCTGTGGTTTATATATCTGAACACAAATAGAATTTGGCAACTTTATTAAAGCTCTGAATGGTTGGTTCCAGCAGGGAGGTGTTACAATAAGAGAGGAAAACCTTATTTCTGATGAGGAGGTTCTGTGGGATTCCTTCCTGCATTGCAGCCTGTGCAGGGTTCTGCCTTCCCTCGAGGCCTCAAGACTTTACTGATGAGAATATTGAGCAGTTGCAGCTTCCTGTCTGCTTCCAGAGCTATGGAAGACACTGTGCTTTGCCATAGAAAATTGCTTTGGTTGCTTTGAATTTGAATTGCTTGAATTGGAAGTGCCTTGGGTGTTCATGGAGGAAGATGATGGTTGGAGGGTGGTCTGGAAAATGCAATGTATTGACTGTCTTGCAGAGAAGCAATAGGCTTTGAGATGATATATGTTTCTGAGAGTAGTGGTTCCCTGTTGAGAATTTACTCCTTTTTTTTAATGTTCTACTGTAAGGGATCCAATCAGCTCAGTAAAATTGGACTGAAGTCTCAGCCACCTTTTAGCTGTGCTGCTGTTCCAGTGTTGCTGTCTCCTGTCCACAGTGCTGTAGCTCAGCATTTTGAGCACAGCTCTGTGTAATGGGTCTTCAGAGAAAATTCATACTTTGTAGTCAGTTGTGGTTTTATACTGAGAGTGGTTGAACAGTTTGTCCAAGGAGACAGTGAAGTTTCTGTCCTTGGAGATGCTGAAACCTGGCTAGAATTGATACCAAAAGAGTTCATCTAATTTCTACTGTGCCTGTGTAGTTTTAGCAGGAACCAGAGTATGCAGGATCTGTTTTCTCAGCAAGGATGGTTGGAAGATAAGGGGAAGACATCTGGCTTAGGGATGCAGCCATAGCCAAAATAAGGACTGAACCCGGGAAATTGGGAAGAGCTTTATGGTAATGAGCAAAATATGCACGTGGTGACTGTGTATAAGCAACACACTTGTAGAAGATCATGTGCACACAAGGTGGAGTTATCCCCTGTGCATCCAGGCCTGCAATGAGTAATGAATGCCCTTCTGAACACTACATTGGTGTTAAGGATGTTTATTTGACTGTTTTCTGGTGAGTGTCGGTGACAGGATGAGCCTGAGCAACCTGTTCCAAGTGCCTTGCTTCTAGCAGGGGTTTTATTAGAGGATTTCCAAAGGTTCCTGCCAGTCTCAGTTGTTCCCTAGTTCTCTTCAGCTGTAGCCCAGGGAAGTCAGCTCAGGCAGCTCCTCGTTTCCCTGAAGCAGTCACCCATAACTCCATACCAAACCTCCTGAGCCATGCTGAGGAATGCAATTCTGAATTGTTTGCATTTAGGTGAATTATTAAAATAATCAACACATCTGCCCTTTGTCTCAGCCAGGGCTTCAGTGTGTCCAGATCCTACTCAAATCTTTTTCATTCTTAATGTTCTTAATTTACTTGGACATTTTCATCATCGTTCTTCCCTGTAAAATCAAAATGCATCAGAATAAGGAGTGCAAATAATATTCACATCCTTAATTAAGAGACCAAATACTTTTAATTCAATCCTGTAATGATCACTCAGAAACAATAAAAACTATTAATGTATTTATATTAAGAGTTGCTGGTGAAACTAAATTTTAATAACCAGTTAGTTCATTATTCTCTTAATGCACCATTTAGAGCAGCATTAATGTCAATCGTGTGCATTTCATAGAATCACGGACTGGTTTGGGTTGGAAGGGACCTTAAAGCTCATCTCATCCCACCCTTGCTGTGGGCAGGGACATCTTCCACTATCCCAGCATGTTCCAAGCCCTGTGCAACCTGGCCTGGAACACTTTCAGGGATGGGGCAGACACACAGTGTGTTTCTGTAGGCTTGGGGTGTCACAGTGGGGGCTAAGGGGAAGAAAATGTTGTGTGTCTGTTCCATTCCTGCTGCCCTGGGAGCTGTGTCCTGCTGGCTGGCTGTGCCCAGTGCTTGTTTGCCAGCACACCTTGGCTGGCTGCTGCTCCCAGTGGCAGACCTGCTGGTGGGGAAAGATTTTGGGGTCCCACAGCCTGGCAGAGGTGGGAGTAGAGTTGAGGTAAGGCTGTGCTTTCAGGAAGATGATGTGGACACAAGAGCCCCCAGTTGACCTGCAGACACAAGCTCTTCATCTCTGCCTTGTCACAGACTTGTGAGAGCTCCAGCATTTACTGCAAAGCTTCCTTCCCTCAATCACTCGTGCAGGCACCTCTGTACACATATGCACAACACTTACACCATGGGGTCATGGAATTATTAAGGTTGGAAAAGACGTCCAACATCATCAAGTCTGTCCCACAACCTTTTGTATTTTTCTTTAGTGTTAGCTGCAAGTTCTTGTAGTGAGTCTGTCTTCCTTGAAGGATGCTGAACTGAAGGAGTAGTGATTATTCATGCTGTGTTTAAGCTCAGGAGCCTGAGTTTGGGCTGAGTCTTGTTTGTTTTGGTAGTGAACAAGACAGGATGAATGGATAAGCAGCTTCCACAGAGCCCACAGTCTGTATAAATTAAAGTTGCGATCTCTGCTCCACAGAGGTTGAACACGTAACCTGATATTTTGATTACATTCATCTCGTTTCATCATAATCCCTGTAAATCCAGGATTAAAATATCTAAAAAGTATCTAAAGTATCTTTAGTATCTAATTTGTAATTATTAATTTCCTACAGATATTTCTCTGACCCTTTGTTTAATGTTCTTTTAATCCTTTTGAGTTCCTGTGGTGTTTGTGGCTCACATCAGGAGCTGATCTTAGTGCTGTGTCCCACTGGATTCTGGACTAATTCAAAGACCCAGGCTCTCTGCTTCCATCCAGAGGGAATGACGCCACAGCATGAGGTTGTGTCTGGAGGACAGATAAAACATCTGGGGTTTCTTTAGAGTGTAAGATTTGTTTACATAAAGAAAATAGCAGATCTCCAGGTGCTGAACTGTGATGAAATGGAGGGGTTTAGCTCCTGTAGCATGAGGAGGCTGCTCAGGGCCCCTGGAAGTCCTGTGCTTTTGCAGCTCACAGAGCTTTATAGCAGAACAAAGCTGATACTGCTTTCAGACTTGTTCAGGGTTGGTGCCAGTTCCCAGTTCCTGTAATGGGCATAACTCCACCAGTATCAGCCCTTGAGTTCTGCCCTGAATGCCTGAAGGGAGCTATTTCTGATATTTCTTTGATCCATGGGGAAATGGAAGAAGACTGTTGAACCCTGTCAGTGATACAGTTGCTCAGACATCTCCTGTACACCTGCTTGGTATCACTCCAGTGAAATGTTTAAATTTTCAGTTTTTAAACCAATAATTATATATAATTTGGATGTAAGCTGTGTGTATTGAGTAGAAACCATTTCATCCAGAGTAGTATTTCATCAAAGTTCTGGAAGAATATGGGAGTGAAATCCCAGTTGCTTCTGTTCTTCCTTACATGGTTGTTTGACCCAACACCCTGATTTTTTTCAGGCTTAGAGCTTGTGTCACTGAGTTCTCAACAAGATTTGTGTTGGCCACAGCAGATCTTTTCTGTCTGTAACAAAGACAGCAGAAAAAGTTGCCTTTCAGAAGGACATTGTCAGTGTAGCTGAGCTCCTGCTCTTTGTGGAACTATTAAAAAATAAAAAGATGCCAAGCTCAAGTGCAATGGCAACACAGGCTGGGATTAAAACAAATGTTTTTGCTTATTGGCATCCCACCTGTGGTGCTGTATGGAACTGTCCTCAGAGTGCAGGCAAAAGAGTTCAGCAAAACCAGCACAAAGCTATGTTAGGGGAGGTTTAGGTTGGATATTAGGGCAAGGTTCTGCCCCCCGAGGCTGCTGGGCACTGCCCAGGCTCCCCAGGGAATGGCCCCAAGGCTGCCACAGCTCCAGGAGCTCCCAGGGGTGCTCAGGGTGGGGTTCTTGAGGTGGCTGGGCAGGGACAGGAGCTGCACTGATGATCCCTGTGGGTCCCTTCCAGCTCAGGAGTTTCTGTGGTTCTATGAAAAGAATTTATAAGACTTACAGACCTAAAAAGAAACTGCTTTCATTTAGGAGTGTCATTTCTGAGATTACATCCTCCAGTGAGTTAATCTAATCTCAGGATCTGTTAAATGAAGCAGGCTGTCTGTCTAATGGCAGAAGGAGCAAAAGGTCATTGATAGAAACAAGAAGCTTATAAAGTAAAAAGAGTTATGATGGAAAATACACTGTTGTTGATACCTAGTGTCCCAAGATGTTGGCATATTAGGTTAGCGTGGCTGGAAAGAACCATCCACAAATAACACTGGCTACAGACTCTTTGGGAGGGTTGAAAAAGCAGTGTGGAGGAGACAGCATAAAAATAATTTCAACAGAAATTGGGACACCAGCTGTAAGTGTGCTAAGACTGAGATTGTTCAAATTACAGTATTAAAGGAATTTTAAAACCACTTTCTCTGAAGCATCCTGGATCTCTGTTGGTCTTTGTGTTTGTCATAGTAGGGCATTCTTTTAAACATCCTTAATAAGTGTAACTTCCTAAAGGTCATCTTAAATTGGCATGGCCACAAAAATCTGTCCCGGTAGGACAGAGAGCTGTGTGTCAGCTGCTCCAGCCCTGCTTATGCAGGCTGTCACCCTGAGCTGAGTGAGAGATCTGGGGTCCCTCGTGTGCAGAGTGAGAGCAGACATTCATCAGATTAGCTGAATAGTATTTCCTACAGGTTGGTTTTTTTTTTTTTCCAAATTACTTTTCTAATCTTTTAGGGGACTTCTTTGGTTTTACCCTGTTTTGTTTGGTTTGGGTATTTTAATAAACCTGTAACATTTTTGTGAGACAAAGCAGGAAGAGAGGACAATCTGTTTAAAGATAAGTGTATCCAAAAGCAGAGGTACTTGCTATTTTAAATTATTTTGTCTGTAACAAGCATTCAGATTTGTTTTCTTGCATTTAACACCATTGCTCTTCTACAACTGATTGCATGGGATATGCAGTATCATGATATGGTGTTACCTGGGCTGAGCCTTTGGAGCAGGCAGGGGCAGAGCTATACTGACTGCTGGAACCAACGTCAGGCAATTCTCAGCTCAGTGGTTTGAGAAGGGATTCAGGACTGGTGATCTGTTGAGATGGAAACTTGACAGATATTAAGATAAATTCATCCTACCAGATTATTATTCACTTGGAAAGAAGCTACAGAACTGAAGGTGTCTGTCAGAACAAGTAAGTCTATCAAGCATGCAAGCACAGGAACGTTTTTATACAAAGCCAAAAGAAATACCAGATGTGTCACCTCTTCATCAGATCATACGGGTTGGTATGTCTCATTCACCTTGTGGTACTTCTAACTGCTTTTTCAGTTTGGCTGTAGTACAAGGCTTCCCAAACTTGTTTTTTCTTAGTGCTGGCTGGCAGTGAGTTGCTGCAGCTCAGCAGTGTCCCACTGTGCTCTGGGAGCCCCCAGGGCTGCAGAGCAGCAGCAAGGGAGGGATGGAGTGACACTTGCTCTGGGGACAGGAGAGTCCAGGAGCTCAGGTGTCCAAGGCAGGGAGCTCTGGGCACCAGAGAGCCTGGGGGAGATGGGCACTGAGTGGTTCTCGTGTGTGAGTGCACAGTGTGTGTGTGTGAGTGAGTGTGCACTGCCATCCCTCTGCTCCCCTCCCTCCCCGTACTCCTCAAGCCCTCCCTCCTCGAGAAAGGCAGCAGCAGCTCCTTGATGCAGGGCAAGAAAGAGTCAGAGGGGAAGCATTTGGCACTTACTGCAGCATTCACTGCCCAGACATCCCTTCCCTGTTTCCTCCAGGTCAGCAGAGAATCAGGATCTGCCACCGCCCTGCTCTTGGCAGAGAGCAGCTCGTGTACCGCTTTTAAGGGGTTTGCAAATCACCAGTGGTACACCTCAATTTGGGAACCCCTGGTATAGTATCATTATATTTCTATGATCACATGACCTCATATTTTTAAATAATAAATAAGCACAAGGGTTCAAAGTGAGTTTTTGACATTAACTTTCACATTTCCTGGCCTTTGAGTGCTTAGCTGTGCAACCTTAATATTGCACTAAAATATTCAGAAGCTTTGATTTTCTGGAGTTTAGGCCAGAAATAGAATAAAGGGGAATTAGAAATGTGGGTTTTAGGGAAAATAAATTAATACAAAACGAGACATAAAAAGGAGAAGATTTTTGCTTTTTGTTATGCATGAATCCTGCTGAGGTATTGTGAAGGAGGCAGGATTCAGGAAGAATGGGTAGGTGATTTTAAAAATCCAGTTCAATAAAGTCAGATCTGAGTTTTCCTGGAAAAATTATTAAAACCATCCATACACACTGGAATAATAAAACTGCACTGAGCCTGCTCATGTTGTGAGTGTTTGCCTGCACCTGCTGCCTTTGGGTGGAAAGGGAGTAGGTTTTGTTCTGCTTCACAAAAGAAGAAATTAATACATACAATCTCTACTCCTAAGAACCCAGAACACTCATCCCCTGCCCCAGCAAATCCAAAGAAACTCTTTGACTTAAAGAGTTTCCCAACATGTTCTTTTAGAGGCAAGAAAAGGAGCATGGGGTGAAAGAAAATCTCCTCTTGTGAAATAAGTGGGAGATGCCTGGGGGTGTCTGGGGCCTCTGGGAGGTGCTGCCTGTGCCCCTGAACTCAAGCAGTTCTGCAGCAGTGCCCTGGACACTCGGAGCAGCCTGGCTGAGTTCAGGCATCCATCCAGGTCCCCTGGGAAGGTCATTATGTAATCTTGCCTTGCCTGTTCCTTGCCTATTTCTAAGGATAGTTCCCTGTTGATAAAGCAGTTGGAATACTTAACTTTTTTTTTTTTTTCTGGCAGCTGTCAATTTGATTGTCAATTTGAATGGGGAAACATTTATGTGGCGGTTTTGATGTGCCATGTATAAAATATTCATTCTCAGTTGCTTCCCATTCAAGTTAATTTGCTTAATTGAACATGAAATATTGTGCTTTTTATTTGCTAGGTTCTCTCCTATGGGTGTAGATCACATGAGTGGGCTTTCTGGTGTAAATGTTCCAGGAAACGCATCTTCTGGCTGGTGTATCTTCATCTACAACCTTGGTCAAGATGCTGATGAGGGAATCCTCTGGCAGATGTTTGGCCCCTTTGGTGCGGTTACCAATGTGAAAGTTATTCGAGATTTCAACACCAACAAGTGCAAAGGTTTTGGTTTTGTGACCATGACAAACTATGAAGAAGCTGCAATGGCCATAGCAAGTCTTAATGGCTACCGCCTGGGGGACAAAATCTTACAGGTTTCCTTCAAAACCAACAAGTCCCACAAATAACTTGCTCGTGCTTTTTGTATGGAATAGATAATGGAGTGACAGAAGTTGAAACATTTTTGTTAGTGTAAAACTCATTTTGCGCCAATTTTCACAAGTGTTTGTCTTAGTCTAAATGAGAAGTGAAAAGGTTTTATATTCTGGGATGCAACTGACATGTTCAAATGTTTGAAATCCCACAATGTTAGACCAATTTTAAGTTCCTTTAAGTTATTTCATTTAAAACATGTTAAAAATCCCCTGAAATCTTAAGTAGATTGCATTAACTAGACCCTCTGGATGGTGGTAAAATTGAAGCATGCTTTCACTTATGAGACTAACATTTGTTTCATTGAATGTTGTCTGCAAAAACTGGAATTTTCTGAAAAATATCAGGCTGAATTCATTGATTTTCTTTGGTTTTATGTTGTTCTTCCTACCCATCCCCCTGTCCTTTTGTTCCCCCTCAGTTTCAGTAGTATGGAAGAAAAGTTGAGAAATACTAATGTTTTAGTTGACAGTAAATTGTTTGATAAATTAATATTCATTACTCTGTGTCTAGTTGAGGATCAGGCTTTTTAAAGTCAAGGTCTTGTAAGTAGTAGCATGCCAGCCTAACTTTAACACCATTGAGGAGGTAAGTTGCACACTGAGCAGTGGCCAAGCTGTCCAATTCACAGGTTTTAGAAACGTGACTTTTAAAACCCACTTTGAGAGGAATGGACCAAAGAGTTTCAAAGAAACTCCGGGAAGATTTCAGAGTCAAAATGAAACTCCAAAAAAGCGAGTGTGAATATATGTTGCTACTTTATCAGACTGAATCTCTTCTGTCCAAATATTTAATGCATGGTGCACTACTTACTGGTACATTATAATGCAGCAAGATACTTACTCATTTTCCAAGATCATTGTAGTTGGAATTCCTTTGGCAGTTCTATTTTGTAAAGAAAAACCAGTTATAAACATTTGAGCATTGTATTTCTCGCATCCCTTCTAATGAGTGCTAGTTTTTCTATTTTAATAGGATTTTGTTTTGACAACTAGCTTTACTTACTGAACACTCAGCAGAAAAGTACTTACAACTTGCAAGTTAGATATTAACCAAAAAACCCCTTTGATTTGTAGATTTAAAGATTAATCCCCCAGGTTTTCTGCAGACTGCCTTGAAACTTTGAGTTGTTCTGTTTCTGTTAATTTTCTTTTGCTTTTTTGTGTTTTTTGTTTGTTTTTACTTTTGCATTTAAGAACATTAAATTTGATTTTGTTTTGCTCAAATTTTGTTTTGTTTTTTATTTTCTGTTCTTTTTTTTGCTAAGTATTGCACAAAGTGTCCAGCTTTCAGAGTGCTGTTTAAGGAACTGTAGCTCCGCTTTAAGAGAATTTTAATTTACTGCTTTGACAGATGAGTAGAAGAAAAGAGTTTTGAAACAAGCACCACAATAAATCTGTCACATAGAAATGAGTGTCACAGACTGATGTAACCCTCAGGTGTGCTTGGGTAGGAAACTGGGAAGGCTGACCATGCCTGTACAGGTGTGTGAGCTGCTGTGCACAACTAGAGACTTGGCTCTGGTGTTTATGTAGGTAGGGCAGGTGTGGAAATGATGTCTGTGGCAGTTTAATGCAAACTCGAGAGGCCAGTCCATGCTGCCTGCTCGTCTCACTCCATCCCCAGCTGACCTTGCCTTCTGCTTGCCGCCATTTGTCCTCTCCTTGTCCTCTCCCTGCCATGGGATCTGCACAGCCTGAGGGCTCCCTCAGCCTCCACACGTGGCTGAGCTGGTGCCCTGCTCCAGGGAGGCCCTGTGGCAGCTGCTGATGTTCCTGGACCTGCCCAGGACATATCTAAACCCTACAGATAAGCCTTGGCCCAGTGAGCAGCCTTCTGCTGAGTTTGAGCTTGTGTGCAGTGAATGCAGGTGGGATTTTCCTGTTAAAGCATCCAGCCTTGCCTCTCCTGCCAGTCTGTTCCCTCCCCACCTCTTGAGATGCTCGGTGGAACAGTGACTGTGACACAGCAGCCAGGCCATTCCCACCCCCCAGAGCTGCTCTTGGCTGTCAGAGGTTTCCTTCCACCAGTTGATCACCATCCATTTATCACGTCTATGATTATTTCCTTTCTGCATACAAGGAGAGCTTGGGAAGCGTTCTGGGCATCCTCCCAAGTTAAAGCTGTGTAGTACAGAGAAGTTCTCTTACATGTCCCATCATTTTTAAACCCTGCACTGTCCTGTTCCACAGGAGTGGGCTGTAGTCATTCCCAGTTCCTGTCATTCTCTCTTGCTTTATTCCATTTAAGATAAATTTGCTGCTAAACTAAAATGGGAGTTGCTGTTTATCACAATATTTAGCGGGGGTTCAGACTTCCAGCGAGTGCCCCCTAAACATGACTCTGTCAGTACTGGTTCCAAGCACACTGGCCATGGCAGCAGCACATTGCTGTGCTGCCACTTTTAAAGAACCCCCTTCTCTTGAATGCTTTCTGGCATCACTGTTCCTTTCTTTTTCCACTGCTTCCCTATTTTTCCATCTCTCATTCTTTGCTAAGTAAGAAAGAAATGCAGGATATGGTTTTGTACTGCTACTACAACAATTTCTTTTAGGAAAGGTCTGATTCCAGCTTTCTTTGATAGTTGCTCTGATAATAATTTTCAGGCAATTGGTATGATCAAAGCACTGCTGCTCGAGTCAGGAAAAGAGGAAAAACTCCTGCTAATATCCAGAGCTGAAACCAGAAGTAGTGTATGATTTGTGCTATTCTAACAGTCAAATCTTGGCATAAATAGCTGAAGTCCAGAAAAATTGTGTATTTATACTCGATGCTTTTGGTCCTAAACCAAAATGCTTGTGCATCCTACTAGTAAAGACCAAAAGGAAGCTTCTGGGGTTGGAAACTAAATTCTAACAAGACATCTACCAGGAGTTTTTCTGCCCAAAAGGTAGGAGCAACTGGTTTCCTCCTCACCCTGCTTTGAAGCTCTCACTTGAACAGACCTGTTTCAAGAGAGTTTTTGGCCTCTTAATTCTCAGAGTGCTCTGCTTTTTCATCCATCCATTTGGTGGAAGCCAGGTGTTTCTATCAGGTGATGCCTCTGTCAGTAAGCACTTACAGGATCTTAGTAGAACCAAAGGCTGTCTCAAAGCAGGGTTCTCACATTGCTTGTGAGATTCAGTGGTCTCATTGAGGTAGAGAGTTCTGGAAAGTCTTCATTGCTGGACTAGAATGTGATAATCAGATTCTGGAGACCTGAATTTTTTGGTCTGTACTGTGAGATGTGCTACAGGAACAGCTGAGATGGGAGTGTTTTGGGGTCCTTTAGAGTAGGTTAAGAGTCTCTTGGGACAGCCCCTGATGTAGGTTCTGAGGGACCAGGTGTAATTTCTGCTGAAAACACAGTTGTTCGTGCTGCTGTCTCAGGTCTCATGTGTAGATGCTGAGGGGAGTCACTGCATTTGCTTCCCAGATGTCCACATGAATGGAATTCACCCCAGTGCAGAACGCTGGCCATGAGCTTCAGCACCTGTGAACCTCCTGTTAACCATTAGCAGATAGGGAAATCCCACATAAATATGGAAGAGGAATCTCTCTATGTGCTTGGTTGTGAGCTGGCAAAGGCACATGCAGATCCTTCAGGTGAGGGGATGGCAACACCAGAAATCCAGACGTGAGCAGAATCAGAGCAGCTCAGTGTGTTCAGTTCTCAGTGATTCCCTGTTAGATGGTGTCTGTGCACTGAAGTGTTGGATTTATTTTATTTTATTCTATTCTTCAAGCTGCATTATCATAAAATTTGGTTTACTTGAGCTGCTCCACTCTCCTGTCAGAGACTGGCCAGTGCAGTTACTGTTGCCTCCTGAGCCTTCCTCTGCCAGTCCCTGTATCTGTTCTAGCTCTGGGACTGGGAAAGGCTTCAGGATCCAGCTCTTAGGGTGAGGGGAGAAGTCACATCACCACAGTGGTGTGTGTGGCCGCACAGCTTTTCCTTCCATTTGCTTGGATATGTTTTTTGTACATCTGTATCATGTGAGTATGAAAACCATGGAAAATCCAGAGAAAAGTCACTGGAGCAGGATAAATTGTCACCACAGTGAACCCTGGTTGGTCAGTGTTTGGTCACTTGCCCTTGTCCAGATGACCAAAGGGTGTTTGCATGGAGAGGACACCTATTTTTATAGGGGGATTGAACATTGCAGTAACGTTATTTATAAAAAGCAGTTAAAAATCTTTTTTAAAAAAGTTTTTTAAAAAACTTGGTATCATTTATAGAAAGAATATCCAGCAGTCAAAACCAAAATGATGAACTAACGGTAAAAGTGATCCATTATTTTAAGGCTGAGTTTGGAAAATGAATAGTCCTTAAGGTCCTTCAACATTTGTTACAATTCTATGTTGCTTTAATGTTCTGGGTAAGGTCAATAAAGTAGAAATTCTTCAAATATTTCAGGAGAGATTTTTTTTCAGTGCATTTTAAACGGCAATAACTCAAGTTCCTTTTTGGATAGTTTATCATTACATATGTGCTTTAAAAAAACAAACTTGGAGAATGTCCCCACGTTTACTTTTCTAACACAATATACAGGTCATATGATAAACTGTGTATTTAAAGTAGCTCCTCTGATAGCTCTGCCTGCAGAAGGTTAGAGTTTGTGGGAGATTTTTAACACACAGCTCTTGAGAGCTGCTGCTAGCCTGGTTCAATCACATAAACATGGAGCAGTTTGTCTGGAGGCTGCCTCTGTCAGAAGGTCACGGTATTTTTTATTTCCATATTGAAGAAATGTGTCCTTTTTAACTATCAATGAAGCACCTTATTGTTACATTTCTACGTTTAGGCATCTACAAATAGCTTTAGAGGGAAGGGACCAAATTCACCTTTAGCATAAAGAAACACCAACCCCTTGAGCTCTCTGAGTGGAGCTGCACTTGTGTTTTGGCTTTTTCTCATTTTGTTTTTATTTTCCAAGAGCTGAATTTGTCACCTGAGGTATTGTAATCTCTATTTGGAAGCAGGAGAGTCTTTTTGTGCCTTCGGCAAGTTCCTCTAACGTAGCTCTGCACTTCTCAAGGTTGGCTGCTCAGCACAGTAGGATGGATAAATCCAGAGCTCAAGAGGCCAGTGGCTATTTTCTCTGATTATTGTGTTTATTATTTCTGGGTTTCTCCTTACTAATATAAAAAATGAAAAATGTGGAGTTCATAAAAAGGGTCTCAGTTCCCTCCCTCTCGCTCGGAAGAGGCGGTGCCTCCATGACAAGCAGTGGATTGAAAATCGCCGGTCATTCCTGAGTGGCCGCTCGTAGGTTGATCAGGTACGGCGTCATTTCAGTGCTTGCTGTTTGTAGTAGTCTCATGTAGCCAAACAAAACCAAACTCACAGTGTTGCTTTCTCATCCTACATGATTTAAAACCAGTCCAAGTCTTTATGATCTCTAAAGCAGAACTCGCCACCCCATGGGTGGGTTTGACATTCAACTCTGGAGATTCCTTCTAGATCACACTCGATCCAACAGCAACAAAGGTTTAGAAATATTTTTCTGTTGAGTGGAGTTTTCAGCACTGAAATTCTCTTTTGTTGCTAATGATGGGAAAACAGTAATGGTAGAACTGCCACCTGAACCCTTGGAAAATTGCTTCTGTGTTCACATTTTAGAATCTCAATATTCTCCTGCTGTTGTTCCTTATTTCTAAACATTTTTGAGCAAGTTTTTAGTGGTATGGCTGAACTTTTTCACTTGGTCATTGAGAAGAAAATGACTTGAGAAATTTGAAACATAAGTTGGGATAAATCTTTATTTGATGAGTAATTTGAATAATACTGTACTTCTAGTCTTTTTATTGATTTCCTTTCCTTTAACTTATGTAATCTTTTGTTTATAAATTAATCTGTTTGTGGGACAGAAGGTTTTATCAATTGCTTTCCATACTGTACAGTATATGGTTACACATTTTGTATATTTAGTGTGTTTTTAAGTTATTGATTTGTTTTATATCAAATAATTTATTTTTCAGGTACCATTTTCATTTAAACTTTGTTTTTACATGGGTTTACTTTAAATAAAGTATGACACTGCTTTCCAAATGTCGAAAATGAAGTTGAATCCCATTGTGTTATTTTGAGATGATTTATGTAAATTAACTTATTTTAGAAATAACTGCAAAAATGTACCAAGTTCATACTTTGGTTGTGCTTCAATTCAAGTGCTTGGAAATTCTCTGCAATGATTTTTGAGCAGTTTGAAAAAATTGAGTTTTCATATTGAAACAGTTCAAAGATTTGTTGATGAAGCAGCAGTTTTGTAGAATCCTGTGGATGGAGTTATGAACATTGTTTTCTATATGGATTTTCAAAATTAAATGAAACAACTCATAGATATTTTACACTGGTGTTAAGACTTAAATGACATTATCTATGTTAATAGTGCAAAGGAGTTTTTGTACTTTTGCCACATGTTCATGGCTGGTTTGTTGAGCACTTGTTTGGAACATACTTGGGATGCTTTTACTTGAGCCCTGTTGAAGGGTGATGTACTTCAAAATAGAATTAGGCTTTTACTTAATTGTTCATATTTTGTCTTTTTTTCCCTGCAGGAATTGGATTATTATTGTGCAGTTTGGAATTTGACATGTTTTCAGAAGAATCTGAACTGTGTTCAGGAATAGGCCAATCAAGGTTCCTCCACTAAAGATTCTGTAACTTGTGGCCTTGTTAGAAAGATGGAATTAAAAGAAGGGGCTTAGTTTCCTTTTTATTTTTCAGGGAAAAAATTGTTGTCTTTATCTTACATTTTTCTTCCTGATTAAACCAAACCCAAAGCCCAGCTATACTGTTACTCAGAAATGTGTGTGAAACTTCTTCAGGAAGCTCCTGGGGAAACACCTCATGTTGGCCCATTGGAGGTTTAGACTGGATGAAGATTCTCTGCAGGTTGTGCCAGGGTTGTCAGGCCTGGCAGAGGCTGCCCAGGGGCGTGGGGAGCCACCATCCCTGGAAGAGTTCGAAGCCTGTGGCTGTGGCACAGGGGTCCTGGGCCAGTGCTGGACACGGTGCTGCTGCCAGCTTGGTCCTTGGGCTTCATTGCCTTAGAGGGTTTTTCCAACCTGACAGCTGTGATTCCATGGGACGGGACCATCAGGGCAGGTCAGGCTCCCTGGTTCCTTGGGTGAGGCTGGGGCAGGACAGACACCCCAGGTCAAACCCTAAGGGAGGTTCTGTAAGGGGTGTTTTCCAGAAATGCTTCTGAGACCACATCCTTTTGGTTGAAGGATCACATATAACCCTGCTGGCTCTGCACAGACTGGGTTCCAGTCTTAGTCCTTTCTTCACCAAAACAAACTTTTAGTTTTGGTAAGCTGAAATCTGTCCTGCTGCGTTTCAGCAGGTGCCTCCTGTCCTTTAGTCACAGAAATAATCCTTCTGAGAGCTGGGCTAATTGTTGTACCCTTGACACATTGCCTCTGATTTTTCTCTTAAAGACTTACTCAGAAAAATGATGTAAAGTAAGAGATATAGATAGTGTTTAATGTATGATGTCATGGAATGTGTGGCAGTGCTGCCTCAGCTCAGGATCTCTTCCAACTCAGGAGTTTTTAGATTTGCAGTTATTTTTTCTTTGATGGGAATTTCTCAGTTCAGCACTGTTCACCATATGGAATTATTTGTTGAGCTAAATTGGTAAAGAGCAGAATTGAGAATTTCTGTTCCTACCATTATATCAGTGGATTGTTGAATGTGCAGCATCTGGTGTATTCAGGAATGCTTCATCAAGACTTAGACCTTTCCTGGGTTTTCCTTTGCATGGAGCTGGAACACCTTCTCCATTTTTGCTCCCACCAGAGTTTATCCCATGTGGTTCACTTTGCTCATGTTCATTTTGACCACTATGGTATTTTCCATGTTTTTCTTCTATGAAAAATCATGAGGAAAAAATATATTAAATTCCAAAAAGCCTAATAACAGACATGGCCATGTGAAGTTCTAGCCCCTCAGAAATGGCTCTTTTTTTAAAAGAAAACCAAAAAAGTTTGTGTAGACCCATTTACACCCAGACAGGGACTCTGGTTCTAGCAGAATTCCTGGCAGACTCCCTGGCTTTTGACTGTTCCCCCACCTTGCTCTGCTCTTGTGGTATCCTCCCTCCAAATGTCACCGCCTTCATTTCCAGAACAGTGAAAGAGGGAGGGGGGGAGAAAAAAGGTGTTAAACTGATATGTCCAAGAAAGATATCGGAACCCTTTTCTCTGTATTTCCTATCCTTTAATAAAAAGGGAAGAATCTGGCTGTAAGAAGTGTCCTGGGTCACGCTGCCAGTACACTTGCTCCGGATTCTGTCCCAGCAGTGGCGGTGAGCAGCTATTTAAGGAAAGCTTGGCTGCCTTCCCCCCCTCCCTTCATTCCCCTTGTGCTTCCCCAGCTCAGTGTCAGGGGGCCCCTAAATACCTCCTCTTCTTTAGAATCCTGATTTTTGACACTGCCTTTCTTTTCCTTAAACTGTCCTCTGCTTCTTCCTGTACTGACAGCAGGAGGAGGAAGTGGAGCATTTGGGAGTGGTTTAACACATCTGTGTTATCTGAGCAGCTGAATGAAGGTGAATAAATCACAATGTTTTGCTCTTTGCATTGTGACGCACTTCCTTTTTTTTGTCTTTTGTTTTTTGTGTTTATGTATAGAAACAGTGATGAGCAAAATGAGACTCTGAACCTAATTTGTCAGAACATAACTAGTGCTAACATCTCATTAGCAAATAATGTTTCATTGCATCAAAATTAATTTAAACCAAATTTGGCACAGTTAAAATACAGATTTTCTTTGAATTTTAAGTGTGGTTTATAACATTCTGAAGGTTGACCTTTCCAGAATGAACTGACTTCTCCCTACAGGGCTGGAGCTCCATGCTTACAAAGGAGCACGTGCTCAAGCTAGAGCTTACAAAGAACTGAGTTTAATACAAATAAGTTTGAGGCTTCCTGTGTTCTTGGCGTAGGGATCAGAGGACCTGTTAGACCTACTTTAACAAACCTGTTAAACCTACTGTTTGAATGTGTTGGAACAGATTCTGCCCCAAGAGAAGGCTCCTAGAGGAGAGCAGAGCAGGAGTGGTTTGGCTGGGGAGCAGATTTGGGGCAGTGTGAGCAGTGCTGAGCTGCTTCCTGCCGTGGGCTCCAGCTCTGCTGTCATGGGAGGAGGAGGCACTGGCAGGACTCCAAGGCTGTCCTGCAGCCCATGAACAGCTGTGGTAAGTAGCTTGTGCTTCTCAGTCTTGGCGCAGAGGGGTTTGGTCTTGGTCTAACCAGACTTGCAGAATTTGTGATTAAACACTTTTGTGACCATGTATCCTGCTTTACCTTGCTGTCCCAGCTTGTTCCTTCTGCTTTTCATCTTTCAAGAGACAGAGTGCATATATGTTTGTATGTGTGTCTACATACACATGTAATACCTGTGTGTAATAAAACGTGTAGACTGGAATGACACACGTAGAGTAGGTACCCATTGCTGTCAGTTGTGTGTCACTGTCTCTGCTGTATAGGTGCTATATATAGCACATGTGGAATGGCACATCTGCACTGTCCCACATCCTGCACAGTGCAGAGATGAATGTCCTTGAAAAAACAAGCTCATGTGAAGCTTTCTAAGGCATTGGTCACAACTCTACAGTGATGTGAGGAGCAAGCTGTGGAGGTTTAAGAAAATTAATGCCCATCTTAGAAAGAATTCAGCTTCCACATTTTTCTAATTCTGGAAGACTGCCCTATCTGTATGTTGTGTCTCAGTGTTTTTCAGCAGTGGTCCTGTACTGTACCATATCACTGCTGCTCAGGGAGCACCTCCCATTCCCTTCTCCCTGTGAGATACAGTGCTGTCACTGTGGGAGTCAGTGACTTCAGTAATTTTGTTTTAAGCCACCTTCACTCTGTATTTTCCCCCTTTCTGTGTTTTCTATATTCCATGGGTCTTAATGTTTTAATCTTTTCTTACTACAGGAATGGAGGAAGGAAGACAGTTCAGCTGCAAGAAGAACTGTGGCTCTAGAGGGATGGCAGTGCCTGAGCTGCGCCTGCCACAGCACACAGCACAACAGCCTGGGCTGCATGGCCAGGCCCCCCTGCCCCCTGCACTGCATTCCCCGAGGGACATCAGGGCTGCTCATGCTTTTTTAGATAAAACATGGCAAAGCTCTGTTCCAGTGTGTTCAGGGCTGCTTTTCTGAACAACACAAAGTTCAGGTTTGAGGTTTGACTCACTGTGATGTCTGTGCCTTGTTTAGTCACTCAGGTAGCTCATAAAGACTTGCACCAGGTGTTTTATTCCAGGGCAGTGGTGCCTCTAACACTGTCATAGTTTCTGGAAACATTCTGGCTGCCCTGATTTGTATCTGATCTTACTTCAACACAGTGATGCTCAAAGGCAGAACAAGAGCTGTACAATGTAAACTGGTTGAGAAGCTTTGTGCTTCTGTTTCCATCTTGGTGCTCTGTGCTCAGCTGTGCACATGAGAGCCTCATGTCCTGTTGGATTGCTGGGGGCCTTGAAAAATGAATGTTTGCAATGGAATATTTGCTCTTATTTTAATCTTTCCACGTTCATATGACAAATATTGATGTTACAGAAGAACATCTCTAACCTCCACTCCGTGGCATTGGATGTCCAGCTTCCTTGTCATTATCCATTCTGGGTTTGGGTGAGGGAATAATGAGAGCTGCTTGTATCCAAGAAGGAATAAAACAAGAAAAGGACAGACTTGTTGAATTGGTGAGATTAAGGCAGCCTGGTGTAATTTTTGAAACGTGACAGGAAGGATCCCTGTTGGGAGTGTTGGGGTCAGCACGGGGTAGGGAATTGATTGATAGGAACTGTGTCAGCCCTTTGCTCAGTGAGGATGGTGAACAGCCTCTAGTCCTAACAGAAGGTTTGCTTAATTTGCTGCACAAATGAAAGGAGGGAAAGAGGTGTGATGTCTTAACGTGGGCAAGGATGAAGTGATTTTGCTCAGAAATACTTTGGCATTTGGTGCTACAGCTGGAAGGCAATGGGGCCTGTGGGGCAGTGCTGCTGACTGAGGTGTCAGCTGGGCACTGTCCATCTGCTGTTCC